AGTCTTTTTGAGATCCGAACCCCACTTAAGTGGATTCGGAATCTATAGAATTCCGAATCCACCTACAACATATATATTAATTTATGTAACACATGATTCACGTGATACAATGACATTCTGATTGCAAAGTTTAATATATTAATTACGTACATATGCAATAGATGTATTTTCTATATAAAATAAAAATAAGAAGTCTTTTTTTTTTTACGTAAAAAAAAGATTTCTTCTAAATATGGCAAGAACTAGAGGCACAAAAACTGCAAATGCTAGAAAATCGAAAAAAAAGGAAATCATTGGTATATACTTATAAAGACAAATATACTAATGCTAATGTTGTATTAATATTAACGAATATTGTTACTTTTAGAATCTGACGAAGAGACTTCTGGACAACAAATGATATCTAATAAACGTTTAAGACAAACGATTTATGAAAATGGCAATTTTTTTATAAAATTTACCAATACGTGCATTAATAAGAATTGTATTAAATACTTTCGATTTGTCATTTATTTATCTATTTATTTATTTTTTTTTTTTTAGAGAAATCTAATGAACTTGCTCGTGTTCCATTTGAGCTGATGAATTTAAATAATACTATACCGTCACCAGCTAACAATATATCTCGGCCAATTCAACGAAGTCAAAACATTTATAATCATAATGATTATTCAAGTTATGCAAGTCATTCAAGATCATCATATAGCATCGATCCAGAATTAGTCCATAATTCAGATTATATGCCATCAAGCACTCCAATTCTATCAAATTTCACGAATTCAAACTTGACATACAATACTCGTTCAAATAAAAATGTCAATAGATTACAAGTCTCATTTAATGGCACAAATAATTCTGAAGCAAGTTCCATGATATCCGAAAATTCTATTATGTTAGAACAACAACATAAAAGCTTGTCACGAGCAACTACAATGTCATTAGACGATATATCGGATTTATATTCATCGGATTTATATTCGTCAACATATCAAGATAAAGACCCATCACAGCAACAAAATTCTTACAATAATCAGAAAGAAAATGATTTAAAATCAAATTTACGACACCAACATGTACCACATTCACCAGTAAATTCTTATCATAAAACGGCTACTCGACAACCTGATAATAATTAACAAGAATTAACTTTTTCTGACGAGCAATCGTTAGTTGATTGGTTATGCACACGACCGGATTTGATCACACAAGTACAAAGTTTAACAGCGTCTTTACCAAACAAGGTTTGTTTAATTTATAATACACGTATGTATTAGTTTTTGTCTAAACTATATACTTATTATATATTTATTAGGCTGAAGTTAATCTCTTAGAGCCGACGGATAAAGAAATTATAATAAATCTTGTCATGGAACAATGCAAGCTTCTGTTTTTACACACACGAAATCCTTCTAAAAAAATACGCGAAAAACTGATTAAGAAAATTGTTCTATCAATGGACCCAGTGACTAAAGAATTTAAACTGCTATATCGGAAAACACGTGAATACTTTGATAATTTTAGATGTACATTTAATAAGGATATGACAGCTCTTGCCAAGGATTTACTTGTTAAAAACTGGTACGTACAGAACATAAGATATAAATAATATCAGCTCACCATTTAATATCACATAATATGGATGAATTAACAGTAATATTTATTTAATACTGATATGACTGCAGTGATCCAACGGATGAAAATATCGAACAATTCGTCGCTGGTAGAGTTTGGCGACAAAAACTTAGCAAATACCTTGAAGCTAGTGACTTCTCAGAATTTAAGAAATCTCAATCTTCGCTCAAGTCACTTGAAAACTTTATTGCTAAAAGTTTGAAAATTCACGTCGATTATCAGATTGCAGTTCGTAACAAAGAAAAACCGTCTTATAGTGAAAATGTCTTGACAAAAATTAAGAAACTCGATCAACTTACTCTTCATATAACTATTCCATCGGCAAGCCAACGAAATTGTGTAAATGAATTGGATCTTAATCAAATTGATGCAGAGTCTTCAGATAACGAATAACACTCTATGACTTTATTTAGTTGATGCGGTAGTAATGAAAAATGCAGCCTTTTCTTATTATAAATATTTTCTGACATAACAACTTATTAGGTCTCTTATAGATGAATTATTCAATCTATTATGTGTATAATAAGAATAAAGATTCATCTATTTTATGATTGCTTTATTAATTTATGTACTATACTATAAATTCAGCAGTTCAAATTTTTATTGTATGAAAATTTATCAATTCGAATCTTTAACATGATCTTGTACATATAACTAACATTTATAGACCTTTTTTGCGTACAGAACATATTTATGCATAGTAAGTGCAACGTTATTACAGTGTTGTAGATGTGCGTATTACGCCTTTGCAGTTTCAGAAAACGGTTGCATAAATAATAAAGCAACAATTATAATCTCAGTCATGTTAAGAATGTTACCAACTATAGGATAGTTGAGCTAGAACCGTCTAATCGCATAAAAATTATTCCATGGTTTCAATCTGAATTATGCGGGTTATGGGCCCAAAATTATCTTAATGCTGGCTGAACTAAGTAAAGAATTTTTAGGAGGTTCCGATTCTTAACAGTAATAACAAATCTTAATTTTATAGAAAAAAACCGTCCAATCCGCTAGGCTATGTTATTTAAATTTTTATTTGTACAGTCTAACGAATTTTATTTCATTATAATAGTCTTAATTTTTTCAAAATATTTATGATCCTTATAATAGTATTTCGAAATTCTGTAATAGATTAAAACAGACCGTAGAAAATTTTGGCCAAACATGAAATTGTTAAAAGCCTAATATAATTGTTTATAATCGTCTAGTAAAGGGCTAGCAGGAAACTGTATTTGCAATTTAATATAAAATGTTTTTTTGACATTCTATTATTATCCTATCATATCGCTAAACTTTGCTAAATATGTAATATTTTAATACTATCGCAAAAATGTAAGATTTCCGCAAAGTTACTAGCTGTTGAAGTGACAAAAAGTATATGGATTAGTTAGAATTAATGTTCGATAAGGCATTGATTTGTATCATT